TTTTCAAACTCTCCTGGAGAGGGCACATTTTTGTATGAAATGGTCTTTTATATAACTTGTATATAAAACAAGAGTTTTGCTTGAAAAGATGCCCTGAGTTGGGATAATCAGACAAAAGCTTTAAGAGCTCAAACAGGTGGTTTAAGATAGAAGTATATTGTTTTCAAAATACATTTTTAATGTACAAGTTGGGGAAATGAGATGCTGCTCTTGTATTATTTATTGAAAAAAAGGTGAAATTTAAATTTCCTATAAAAATTTAAAAAAAAAGTAACAGGGAAAAGAAAAGTAGCACTAGAATCGCAAAATCATGCCTCAGAATGAAATCTCACTTCAGAGCAGTGTCCACTATGTGCATTGTCCATATGAAGATGGAACCATCACTGGTCTCACAGACCAGTTCTGCCCACATTAAAAAAAACCAAAAACCCAAACACAAAACTAAACATACCAGAAACATGCTTTATCTTGGATATATCTCCAGTTTCACTGGCACCAGTGACTAAATCCTCACAATTACCAAAACCGTGGAACATTGTTGGAACTAGAGATACAAAAGTAAACCAAATGCTAAATAGGAACACACCAGGTATTCTGGCATTTGATTTCTCCTCCCTTTTAGTAGCTAGATGCATTGAGTGTTTCAGTGCAGGGATTTATGTGGACAGTCCACCGTGGTCCTATTTCTTTTAATGATTCTGTATTTCCTGCTTGCTGCAGCTACTTCTAGAGAGCTGTACAGTACTATTTAGAGCCAAGTTCCCAGGGCAGGATTCCTCTGGCAGGATACAGAAAGCTGTCTAATAATTGGTATTACGAATTCCATCCGCACAGTGTTCTACAAGTCGCTTTTGTGTGGAAGGGTGATGAGTGAAGCAGCACACAGAACTCAACGAAGGAGACCCTACAGCACAGCTACTGCTAGCCACAGCTATGTTTGACTGGGATATTGCACAAATTCCCTCTAGCGCAGTAATGGAATCAGAATATATAGTTAGATGAAAGTAAAAATCTTTATTGCTAAGTCAGCTGAAAAATTGATGCAAAAATATTCTTCCTTCCTGGACTGCTCTATAGATCTGAATAAAGAATCAATGGAATAGCGTTTTCCAGCAATCTTACGTTATTTGCCTCTCCAAAGCAATATAAACATAGGCCACAGTGCTGAAGGTGCATTCATTGGACAACCTACTGCCACACACAATAAAAACGGAGATTATTATAGGTGCATGCTAGAGTGGGATACAGAAAATATTCTCCTTTTTAAAACAAAAAACATGAAAAAAGGTTATTTAATAAACAGTTGGTGCACTGCAGTCTTTCTTCAACATGCGCTGGGTCATATGAGTCAAGTTAAAAAGAAGGTAACATTTTAAAATGTGAAAAAAGAGGAAAAAATATACTTGAGTCTTCAGACAGCAATGGAACAGCAGATGACGACTGCACAAAACCAAAGAGGTGAACCTACTGCCTGAAGAAGGCCTTTGGCAAGTGACACGAAAGCCATTGCCATCCAGAAGGAATGCAGAAAACTCCTCAAGTCCAAGGGCCTTAGGTGTGGCTGAACATCCTGTGTACTAGAAGGATTTCAGGCCTCACAGAGCCTTTCTCTTTCCCGAGAAAGGGAAATACTTGCTCCTTCTTGGAACAGGATTTTACCCTCCCATCTAGTTGAGGATTCTGATCAGGTCCCAGCAATCTGTGGCGCTGCTTCCACCAGGCCTGTTCCTGGTGCTGGGAGCAACTTAGAGGCTATCCCTTATCCTTAATACTTGGGCCCCAACTACTCGCCACTGAATATAACCTTTATGGGTTCCTTTTGCAGAAGCCTTTCTGGACAGGACAGGGCAGACAGGTCAGTGCCTTTAGAGTAGCTGTTCTCAGCAAGCATGCTCATCAGCAGAGCCAGAATTACTGAAGAGATAGACAAACCAACTCACCAGCCTAACCTGACTGTGGCTGCACGGAGCATGGCAGGTCTGGCATTGCTCAGCAGGGACAAGAGAGCCTGATGACCCCAAGCTGAGGACCTCTCTCTAATAGCAAGTCTGTTAACAAATCGGACATTCTTAGTGAAGTGGCTCTGTGCAGATGATGTATCTGTGCAAGAACCACATGAAAAATCAGGGAAGAGATTAGAGAACAGGAAGAGGACTGGGAAAACACTTTCTATCCCCTGCTACGAGTCCTTCATGAGACTTGCCCATTCATACCTGTTCCACCTACAGCAGTGCTCCTAGGGAGTTGAAATCTAAGGTGGTGTTAATAAGTAAGGTGAGGAAGACAACGGAGAAGCTTGCTGTCTCTAGGGAGGGAGGAAAAGAAAAGCTGGTGGTGGAGGGAAGCACTCACGCTGTGCTGCCCAGAGTAAGACAGTTTATAATATCAGCTTAAGCAGGGAAAGCCATGGACTCTACCTAGCGTGAAAGAACAAGCCATGTTCTGCCATGACAGTTCACACCCATAGAAAATAGCAGCTGGCTGTATTAAACTCCCTTTCTGCTTCAAAACCAGAAATGGCACTGGAGAAAAAGGCTAAGTAGGAATTCCTTGCATTCTATTCTGCCACTACTGTGAAGAGGAGCAGCTCAGAAGACTGCATGCTCCATTGCAGAGCTTTATTCTACTTAGTCCTTCCCCACCGAGCTAGGTAGAGCCATTCATGACTAACTCCCTGTGGCAATGCCAACTCTCCATGCAATGCTACTGGTTCAGACTGGGAAGGACACACTGGATTTTCCACATCAGTGCAACAGAGACTCGATTTGCATTAACATCTGCCACTCTCCTAGTCTGATTCAGAAAGAAGAGTGTATTTCTGCATCAGTCCCATACTGAACAGAGGCTGCTTTGCAGCCCTGTCAGGTATCAGAAAGTGTTGGGCTGGGCACAGATATTTGGTAAAATTATCACCAGTGACAGAATTAAAAGTTACAGTCAAATACACTGGGATGAGCCTTTTCTGCGTACTTATATGAAGACAACATGAAAGAGGTTTGGGGTTTAGTTTTTGAATCTTTTCTGCTGTTACTTCTCTGTCTAAGGGATTCAAATGCTGCTGTTTCTGTGATTCTAAGGATTAGCTTTTCTCTCCATGTCCAAATGAAAAAGGCATTTAAACAGCCAAAATTTGTGAGAGTTTAAACTTTGGAAAAAGGTGGGTTGTTTCATAATTACATTGTAACTAGCACAAGGTATATCCTAAAATGTTGCTCTCTCATGCATGGTAAAAATAATTTTTTTTCCTAGTGAGAAGAAATTCAAGGTGCTTTGAAATCTCAGTAAAACTCTGTTAGGTTTTGTCAAAAGATCTATATTGACAGAATCCCACAAGTAGTCTGCAGAGTATTTCCTTCTGAGCAAGGCCTGAATTTGATCCAAAAATATACAACTCAAGCCCTTCAGAGCTCTTGAGAAGAAACTTTCAAGTTTTCTTCATAAATATAGTTGATAAAGAAGAAAAGGCACTAGCCCACATTACAGTCAGGGTTATTGCACCACTGACATGACCGGGGCAGCTGCTGTCCAGCTCTCTGCCAGCTGAGGAAGACTGATCTGCACGCTACAAGGACAGTGGTCTTTTCACAACCCTTACACAAGATGATGATGTAGGCAGCCAACTTACACGCTGCACCAAAAATCCTAATGGAAACACAATGCATCTGCTGAGTGCAGACTGGCCAATTCACTATTAGTGGGACTGTTTCAAACATCTTTTCCAGTGCTGATAAAGATGTTATTAAGATGAAAAGTTCTATTTTTCCTTTTGCACTGAAAGCTAAGCAGAAACAAATATGCTTTCACCTTGTTTGTGGCCAAATTGGGCACGTACCATGAAATGCAGGTTGCTGTGGATTTGGAATATGACTCCTGTTTTCAGAGGCAAGCAAAGATGCTGTAGCTGACAGTGCAGAGGTTTATGTTGGTGGAACAGAGCACTGAAAGCGTCCCCAGCATATGAAGGGCGGCCCCACTGCTCACTAGCCTTAGAGTGGCATATCACTGCTTACAACTTGATTTTTTTCTTAGACCGAGTACCTCACTGAAACAAGCATGAGCTCCGGGTTTCATCCCATGTTTTCTGGATACAGGAAGCCTCTACTGTGAAGCATCCATGATGGAGGGGGCCAAGCTGCTGCTGAGCTGCGTCTGTGCTCTGCAGCTAGAAGCACCAGCTCTACACATTACCTTAATCAACCAGTCCAGAGCTGATCTTTCCATGCTCCATGTAAAATGCATCAGTAGGCACCTGCTTATCACTCAGCTGTGTATTTTCTCATTCTGCATAGGCTGATCTCATCATAACCCTCACTCTACCCTGCACCAGTGCTCATCAGAACACTGGTACCCAGAGTCCTCCACTGCCCTAACAACATCCATTGGAAAAAGCCCACACCACACCTGCTGTGGAGTGCTCTCTCCCCTAACCCTAAATAATAAAGTGCTGGGCTGAAGGGGAGCAGAACAGCTTAAGTGCAATCAATAAAAGTGCTTGCAATTAATGTAGGAAACCATTCTTGGGTCAGCTTCATTGCAACTGGCTGTATTCTTTCAAGGAATAACAAAGTCAGATGCTGGGAGGGCAGGCTGCATTAGAAATATTCACAGGACTCCAAACACTGAACATTGCCCCCTCAGCAGCCTCCTTACCGCCCCCCCCCATATGCCAGCCCCTTTCCTGCAGAGCTGGCAGAACCTCAGGGTTCAAGGAGTTACAGGCAGGTGTTGGAACACCTGCCTTCTTCCTAGTGGTTGCACAATTTCCAGACAGTCCCTAACACAGAGCTCAGCTGCTGGTCTGAGTGCTCATAGAACAACTGAGACTCTACAGTGAAAAGTGGACAGCCCAGACCTTAGCACTCTCAATTCTTCCTTGACTCCATTAAGGAAGCAGCAGATGCCTGTACTCCTTGCAGATCCCAGCTCCCCTTGGAGGGCAAGACAGCCCTTATGGGACAGAGTTTCCTGGGACAGACAATGTGGGAGCAGTACTTGTAGGGTTACAAAGCTGTGTCAAACTCCTCTGGCAGAGCTGCTGCATGTTCCTGTTTCTTTTCCTGATCTGCTCCATTCTCCTGGTGCTGCTTCATTTGTTCCTTCACTTCCTCCTCCAGATCAGGTGGCACGACAAATTGATCCTCTGGCTCCATTTGGGATGGAGCAGCAAAATAGCCAGTCTTCTTCTTGGGTGCCTCTGTGGCTACTTCGATGAGGTTGAGGCTCTCCTCCAAGGGCACTATGGAGCCATTGGAAAGCTTCTTTCCATAGAGACAGCATGTGGAAAGAGATTTTTGCAGTTCACAGTTTTCCTTGACCCCTCTCTGCACAGTGTTGCTGTTTACACTGTTCTGTCTCCGAATGATGAGGACAAGGCCAGAGTCATCCTCTGGCCCTGGAGCAGAGGAGCTGTACTCTACAGCAGGTGGTTCAAACTCCAGGCCCTTTCCTTTGCAGCAGTGGATGTCCACCTCTACCTCCACTTTACTGCCATTTGTCATCACACCTTCCACAGGCTGCTCATCATCGCTATCCAGACCATTGTCAGACTGGTTGCTAGAGAAGGTGGCACTGGAAGGTTGGCGCTGAAAGATGCTTGAGGAGGGCACAGGATGTAGGCTGCAACGTCGCTCTTGTCGTGGTAGCAAACTGCCATCAAGACCAACAGCATTGTGTTCATCTGAAGCAGTAGAGCCCACCTCACTGCTAACCTCAGAAGCAGACAGTTCACTGCTGAACTCTGAAGCAATTCCACTGCTAGATGAAGGTGTTGCTGGCTTGGTGGTGGTGGAACTAAATCCCCCAGGACCTGGCAGAGTGAGGCCATGCATCTCACATGTGCAGCTGTCCTCACTGATGTTCAGACACACCACCATTGCACCTACATTGTCTTGGCAACCATAGCTTTGGGCTAAAGTGCAGAGTTTCTTTGCAGCAGCTAGCGGGTCATGTAGGTGGCGCACGGCTGAGACAGCCTCTGTATAAGAAAGGTGTTCCCAGAGAGCTTTGTTCCCTAGAAGTAGCAGCTCATCTTGTACAGTCAATGGAATGGAATTGACATGTGGTTTGGGCAGGATCCAAGGATGCAAGTATGTGCAGCCCAGCATCCGAGTACAGCAAGTCACGCCATTGACCTTATTGTCCTGCAGACAAGAGAAACAAGGCAGTAGCGTTAGATGTGCTATTAGATCATTTGGAGAGCAGTCCTTCCCCTGCCCTTATACTGGTTTGGAGCCTTGAGAAATGCCAGTGCACAGCTACAGTATAGGAGAAAGGGATCTAGGTCCAGGTACCACAGCACAGGCATTCGCTGTACCTGACCATCAGGTACAGTAATCGCCCATCATCCGTGCTGGCAATAACACACTTTTATCCCACAACGCTTTTTGTCACATTCCAAAGAATTGTAGCAAAGTATTCTGAAATGCGCAGCTAGACTACCTGCAGCACATTGATCAGAGAATCTCACTCATCAGTCTTACATGAAACTTATTTTTTCAGTATGAGAGAGATAGTGACTTTTTACTTTCTCATTGCAAGGCAGATTATCCAGACATTAAATAATTTCTGTGTATTTTCTGAACTATTTCCCTCTTTATTAATATATCACTGCATTCTGAGGTATGGACACTACATCCTGAGGAGGAAAACAACAAGTAGGTATTTCACACTACTGCTGTAACCTGGAGGTATTACCTCCTTCCTGTTCCTGCTAGATAGTCCCGTGGCCAGCCTGGCACTAGTCTCCTGGAATAGAAAATTGCCCACAGCCCTCAGTCCCTTTTCCAAGTCAGGGTACACAGCTTCCCCAGTCTTTTGAATTTAATTTCAGTACTCTTAATTTCTGTATCCTCTGGATGTTAAACGTTGCTGCTGCTGCTGCTAAGTATTAAAACCAGCAGAGGACACATGCAGCGAAGTCTCCTTAGGCAATGATTTCACTTTTATTTTTCAGAATCCATTCATCACCCAGTTTTTAAACCATTTAACGTGCTACATTGATTCCACAGTTATTTTTAGTCAGAGTGCTATGGAATATAGCACCTTGAAGAGCTGTAACACATTAACAGATTATCCCTGTCAGAAGCACTTCTATCAAACAACCTGATGCTTCATAAAAGACCCACTGAGCATAAAACTAGTATGACTGGCACTGATTTCTCAGACCTTCACCGACAATGTATTTTCCAGTTCTTTGGAACTTCCCTTTTATTTCCAAGTTTTTAGGAAGTTAACCTTTATAGAGTTCTCCAGAAATCATTTTAATACTTTCATATAAAAACAATGAACATTTCTGTCTTTTTTATGTTAAAATTTTTACCTGTAATATACTTTATATCCATGTTCTGCATGTCTCAAGAGCCACTAATCCTGTACCTTCATTGAGTAAAACATGGAAGAAATCTAAAGAGAAGTAACTTGAGTCATACTTTTCAAGAAACACCAAAGAGATTTTGTGGGTTTTGAGACAAGATGACTTCCCAGGCCCTGCTCTGTTCTTCAGTGGCTCCTCTCCATACTCACCCAAGTCAATGCACAGTATTATGGACCTCCCCTCCTTTAGCTCCACACCTATTTTCTTTCCTTCCTCTCTCCCCAGGCCATCCTTGGCATCCTGTACCTGTAGTTCTCGGGCCATAACAGGTGTTTTAGGAACATGTAATTCTGAATAGCTAATCAGCAAGAGAAGCAGAGCAGGAAGCAACAGACAAGTCACTCGAACACCTTCATGCCATCCTCTCCCCTGTAGTATTGTGCAGGCAGCAGAGCTCACGTATTTGTACCAAGCTTTTATGGGAGGGTGGAAGCTGAAGTGAAGAGGGTCCAAACCAACCTCTGTTATAATGGCTTTCTGCTCCTTGATTCTCTTGGCTTCTTCTGAACATTGTTCAAGGCTGAAGACTTTGCACAGAGGCAGCGGTTTTCCACTTCGGCACAGAACGGCTTGGCACGTCCCCACATTGGCCACCGTCAGAGAAAAGCTGCTGGCTGGATCAGCCACATCATGACGAATATAGCAAAGGACAGCAGAGGAACCCAGCTTCTGCCCAGCCATGCCCAGCTTCCTGTTGGAGGAGAAGGTGTAGGAAGGCTCCAGACTCCAGTGACAGGCATTCTAGAGGGCTGCCTCACCCCACCTAACACATTAAGTGATATACCTATGCAGGTCCCACCAGGACCAGCTTGCTCACTGTCCTACCTGTGGGAGACCAAGAAGGTGTTGGACATGAACATGGTGTCTGACTGCTGTACCTCCTCCAGGAGCACATCCGCCATGGTGCACTGCAGCAAGCGTGGCAGCTCCTCGTTCTTGTCACCATCAAACATGCCATACACAGCCTCCACCCCCTCTGCAAAGCTCCCCAGTGCCAGGGATGACACACACAGCCTGTTAGAAAAGCATACAAGCAAAGTTAATATGTCTCAAAAGATCATATGGTCCCCAAAACCACAGCCATCAGGCACCTTGCCGTGAGTGCTGTTCTCACAGCGCAACAAAGCCACTGTCCCTACATTCACTGCCCCATGAGATGTACAGCTGCAGTTTATTATTGGAACTCCCAAACCCTCCTTGACCACACTCATGAGAGGGCAATGGGCACAGCCGGCAAGAGAAAGAAAACGCATTTCTGCTAGGGTGGGAAACAAAGTCCAAGTGTCCCAGGATAAGCATGAAAACTGAAGGAAAGGACAATGCGGAGGCTTGAGTTACCAAGACTTAGCAAAAGATCTGGAGAGACAGAGGGACCAATGAGCTCTTGAGCAAAACAAGTCTGCTTGGGTGCTTAGCAGTGCACTCCACATAGCACCCCGAGAAGACAAAGTATCAGTGTCCAGCAGACCACAATACTCACTTATTTCTTTGGCCTGCCATCTCAGCTACTCCATGACTCCAGAAGGTCGAAGTGAGTGCTGAGTCTGCTGTGAGGGAGGGCTTAGCATCAATCTTCAGTGTGGTAATGTGACTACAGAGAGAGAGGAACAGAAGTCATTCTCTCCTAGACCCTGCTG